TATAAGGTACAGATATGCTTTATTATTATATATAGAGAGAGAAGATTAAACTGAGAGAAATTTTGCTAACTTGTTTGCTTTTATTTCAGAATAGTACCCCTTTGTATTACTATTCCACAATTTATCTGTTCTACAATTGGTTGACATTCGGGTTAATTGAAGTTTGAAATTATTATGAATGCTATTATGATATTCTTGGCAACTATCCTGGAATGGAATTATTAGGACACAGTGTGTGCCTATTGTCAACTTTACTAAATGACACCAAAATCTTTCCTAATATAATTGTACCAAATTATACTCAAAGCTACTGTTTCCTTGTTGAGCTCCTGTCTGGAAGATCTGTCCATTGGTGTCAATAGAGTGTAAAAGCCCCCTACTATGATTGTGTTATTGTTGATCTCTGCCTTTACGTCAATCAATATTTGTTTTATATATTTAGGTGCCCCTATGTTGGGTACATAGACGTCTACTAGAGTTATGTCCTCTTGTTGGATTGATCCCTTTATCATTATGTAATGTCCTTCTTTGTCTCTTATTATAGCTTTTGTTTTCAAAGTCTATTTTGTCTGATTAAATATTGTTATCAGGACTTTATTTTTTTTGTTTCCATTTGCATGAAATATCTTTTTTTGTCCCTTTGCTTTCAGTCTATATGTGTCTTTTGATCTGAGGTGGGTCTCTTGTAGATAGGATATGTATGGGCCTTGTTTTCTTATCCATTCAGGCCTCCTATGTCTTTTGATTGGACTATTTAATCCATTTATATTTAAAGTGATTATTGATAGGTACATAGTTATTGTCATTTTATTATTCATATTTATGTTCTTTTTTTACCCCCCTTCTTCTTCTTAAAGAAGTCCCTTTAACATTTCTTGTAATACTGGTTTGTAGTAAGGAAATCCTTTAGCTTTTTCTTGTCTGGGAAGCTCATTATCTCTCCATCAACTTTAAATGTAAATCTTGCTGGCAGAGTAATTTTCATTATAGGTCCTTGCTTTTCATCACTTTGAATATTTCATACCACTCCCTTCTGGCCTGCAAAGTTTCTGTTGAGAAATCAGCTGACAGTCTTATGGGAGTTCCCTTGTAGGTAACTAGTTGTCTTTCTCTTGCTGCTTTTGGGATTCTCTCTTTATCTTTAAACTTTCCCATTTTAATTATGATGTGTCCTGGTGTGGGCTTCTTTGGGTTAATCTTGTTTGGGATTCTCTGTATTTCCGGAACTTGTATATCTATTTGCTTCACCAGGTTAGGGAAGTTTTCAGTCATTATATGTTCAAATAGGTTTTCGATCCCTTGTTGTCTCTCTTCTCCTTCTGGTACCCCTATGATGCAAATGTTATTACACTTGATGTTGACCCAGAAGCCCCTTAAACTCTTTGTTTTTTTCTTATTCTTTTTTCTTTTCATTGTTTCAATTGGGTGTTTTCTGCTACTTTATCTTCCAAATTGCTAATTCAGTCCTCTGCTTTATCTAATCTGCTGTTGATTCCTTTGAGTATATTCTTCATTTCAGTTATTGTATTCTTTATTTCTGACTGGTTCTTTTTTTATGGTTTCTATGTCCTTCTTTATGCTTACTATCTCTTTGTTGAAGCTCTCACTAAGTTCTCTGAGCATCCTTATAGTTAGTGGTTTGAATTCTGCCTCTGAGAGATTGATTACCTCCATTTTATTTAGGTCTTTTTCTTGAGTTTTTTCGTGTTCTTTTATTTGAGACATGTTTCTTTGTTTCCTCCACTAGCTCTCTGTGTTTGTTTTTTTCTATGTATTAGGTAGATCTGCTATGTCTCTCAGTCTTCGCTGGGTGGCCTTATGTAGTAGTTGTCCTGTATGGCCCCATGGCACTGTATACCTGATGACCTGTACAGTGTGGTGATCTAGGAGTGTCCCATGTGTGGGTGGGTGTGCCCTCCTGATATAGTTGAGCCTTTATTGCTTTGGCATATCAGAAGGTGGTATTGACTCTCAGACTGACTAGCTGTGAGGATTGGCCATGCACAGAGCTTATGAGCTGCTATGTGGAGGCTGACGCCTCAGAGGGGGATTCACCCCAGTGGGCTCCTATGCCTGTTAAGACCATGCCTTTGTGTGTGCTGCTTGTCGTGCTAATGGGGTAGTGTTTTGTTGTGGACTGAAGCTGGCCTCCAGGTGTGTTGTTTCTGGGGCCTCTTAGAAGGGGTTCCTGTGCAGACCAAGTTCAGCTGCTGCCTGTGACCAGCACAGGGCTACCTTGTAAGAACTACAAAGGTATCTATGGTTGGTTGTTGCCTGTGCTGAAACTGGAGACCCGTGGGAGGTGGCTATGCTGAGAACCTAGGTTGATTGTCACCAGTATCAGGCCCAGGGCAGCTTGGCAAAAGGCCCAGCCCACCTCTATTCCTGATGTCACTTTCTGGCAGCCCATTAGGCTCATCCCTTGAAAGAGCCTCCTGCAATGTGCAGGGCAGTGCTGGTTGCCAGGGTGCCAGAAAGTGTCTCTGTATATGTTGCACGAATTGAGTGGGGCAAAGTCAGTGGGGTAAGGTGTGTGGAGTTCACCAGGCCAATGTGGTTTTAGGTGTGGCCATGTGGGGAAGGGCTCAACACAGGAAAGATGGTGCCTACATGTTGGCTACACGTGAGGTAGGCTCCATGCAACAATGGAGACTGTCCATATAGCCCTTTCCCAAAGCCACACAACTCAGTCTTACCTTGTATATCTTTGGTGCCTCTCAAGTTGCCAAACTCTGTTGGAGCCCAAGGTGAGTGCCTACAACTGAGTGAGTCTGTGCACAGGCCCTGTAAGAGGATGTTTGGGTTTCCAACCACACTTCATCTCACTTGGATGGACAGCATCTTCGCTGATTTTAACAGCCAGAAGTTGTGGGGACTCCTCTTCCTGGCACTGCACCTTTGGGTTGGGGAGCCCAGCATGTAGCTGGGACCTCTCACTCCTCAGGGCAACCTCCACCACTGAGATATTCCTCCCAATGCTCAATAATTACCTGTGAGTTTGGGGCCAGCCCATTTTGCATCTCTGCCCTTCCTACTGGTCTTGATATGGCCTCGTCTTTATATGTTTAGTTATAGGGGCTCTGTTCAGCTAGTTTTCAGATGGTTCTTGAGGTTGATTGTTCTATAATTTAGTTGTAATTTCAAGGTGGTCATGGAAGGTGGTAAACACAACATTTACCTATTCCACCATCTTCTTGTCATTTCTTCTTTTTATCATTGGATGTCTAAGATGGGTTGTTTAGTTTCCACATATTTGTGAATTTTTTAGTTTTTCTTTTGTTACTGTTTTCTACTTTCATTCCATTGTGATTCTAAAAAGGACTTTGTGTGATTTCAATCTTTTCAGGTTTATTGACATATTTGTGGTCTATCATGTGGTCTATCAAAATATTCCATGTGCACCTGAGAAGAATTCTGCTATTGTTGGGTGTAGTGTTCTGCATATGTCTATTAGGTCTATTGGTTTATAATGTTGTATAAGACCTCTGTTTTCTTATTGCTGTTCTTTCCATTATTGAAAGTGGAGTATTGAAGTCCATAACTATTATTGTAGAACTGTTTTTCATTTCAATTCTGTTGCTTCATGTATTTGGGGCTTTGTGATTAGGTACATTGCGGGGGACCAGCTCCTGCAGGTCCAGGGAAAGCCCTTTGGTGGGGATGGCATCGGCGATGAGAGAGAGAGAGAGAGAGAGAGAGAGAGAGAGAGAGAGAGAGAGAGACGACAAGATGAGAGGGAAGGGAGGGAGACAACAAAGAGAGAGTGGAGACACGAGGAGTGTTTTCAAAAGATATGTCACATCCTTTATTCTTACAGCATGCAGAAAAACGCGCGGAGACACAGGGGCACTTTTTCAAGAAGAGAAGTGTCTCCCTTTATTGTTACAGTAGAGTTCTTTTTATGCAGTTGATCATTACCTCATGAGAAAATTGTTTTTACACAGTTTCAATGTTATTTTCCCAGGGTTATTTTTCCATATAGGCTATTTTTCTCAGAGTTACACACCCTAACAATTCTTATGCTACAGGGTACAGCTATACCTGNTATCTGGGGAGAAAACTGGTGTCTATTAGTACAGATTTGTGTAGCCTGGAGGGGGCTTCTCTCCAAACAGCCCAGTTGTCTAACAGCTTAATTAGCCCTTTTGCTCTAGCAGGTGCATTCTCTCCAGGCTGGGCTTTCAAGGCCAAGACTGAGGCCTGTCCTGGAGCACAATTGATGATTCTGCTCTGGAGGGAGAGTACTATCTTAAAGCTGGAATTTTCAAGGCTGAGGCTTTAAAGATATTTTTGTTTTCTGCTCATTCTACCAGGGAATTCCTAACTGCCTAATTGTTACACTAACTAACCTGTCTTAACAGGAAAAATTATAGACAGTCATGGAAATTGCCACAGTACAGGGAATCAGGATGGAAACCAAAACAGAGCCAGGGAAATAAATTATTAGCTGACAGAGAGGTTTAAGTCACAGGACCCGCCAGAGTGACAAGCTCAGGTGGGGGAGGAGCAAAAGCTTTTTTCCAAGCCTGTAACAAAGTCAGTCATACCCAGGTAGAATGCATACCTTCAAAGAGGTTATTTAACGTAAGACTGTCAGTAGTCCTGTTGTCAGAAAGTAGGCCCATCTCAGTGGCACAAAGTCCAGGTCCTTGGCAAATCGAGCAAAGAATTGAATGAGGCCTGGCCGAGTGGCGCGATGGTTAAGAACTGGCTTGGAACGCCAGAAGGCCCCGGTTCAGATCCCACATGTGAGGGCCAGTGACACTGCCCTCCACAGCTCTGATGCTGAACAACAGCTCAACCTGGAGCTGGGCTGCCGTGAGTTGCCGGCGACGG